GCTTGGTCGATCCGCAGCGGCGGTCTCATCAATCTGGATTGTATGTAGGGGTTTCCCTCCAGCTTTACGCGAGTCAGCACTTCTCTTGGAGTCAGTCGAGGGCCCAGGCCCCGTGCGCCAACTAGCTGGCTCAGAAACCATGCCACTACAGGAACTGACCATCCATTCCCAATGAGGCTAAGGCGCTTGTCGTTGTACTCAATAGACTTGCGCTGGTTCTTGGTCATGCACATCTGCGTATAGCCCACTGGCAGCCCCATCATTGTACTCCCTCTCCGCGACGTTGGGGATCCTATATTCCTGCTTCCGGTTGGTCAGGCAATGACGGGGAAGATACTGGTAGGGCGGGAATCTATGGCTGTCCGACTCCCACCGACGAACGGTGTCATCATCACAGGCCTGAAGCCCTGCCGGCCTGTGTCCACGTGTCGCTCGTGGTCGAGAAGTGGTGAATGTTGGGAAAGACTGGCAGGGATCAACCTTGCTCCACCCCGCTTCAGACATTGTCTTCCCAGGGTTGGTCCCCGAACAAGGACAGCTCACGTCCGTACGCCTCGACGCCCTCATCTGACACATTGAGCTCCCAAGTCACCCAGTATAATCGCGGTCGATTGCACCAGCTCAGTTTCCCAGCGTCGCATGACCAGGGCGAATCCCCGAAGGATTGTGACATGATGTCTTTGTCTACCTCGTCCATTGAAGCAACACTTTCCATCAGGGTATGGACTTGCGCCCACGGGAAATGATGTTGTACTAGCGTCTGCAAGCGCTTGACATGAGTGAACAAACAAGATCTTTCATCCCGTAGTGCTCGAGAATTACCATCTCAACTTGTCCATACATCAGGGACCGACTCACCACGTCCTTCTCCTTCACCTCTACGATGTCAGGGTAGTGCACTGTACCTGGAAAATGGTGTTCCACCACGCGTCGCGCCCCGTTGCAACCCAAGAGGTCCAGGGCCACGCGCAAACACCCAACGCCGTCGAACAGTTTGATGCTCAAGATACGTCCACCTCGGTGGCTTTGCATCTCTCCTGTCGAACTTCCACTAGCGACTTGCTCTCCAAATCTTGTCAGGTTGTGGCTGCACATACCCCTTCTCCGTGCTGTGAGGCATCGCTACAAGTGACGGTGGAGTTCATCTCAAGGCGGAAGTTCATTCGGCATAGTGGGATGAGGCAAAGGAACCGATAGATCTCCAGCTTCACACCTTTTGGGATGGGCAGTCGGCGGCGTCCCCGCACGTTGAAAGACTCAATGTAGTTCCAACTTCAACCCTCCGAGAAGCTGTCGTCTAAAGGTTGAGAAGTACACACCACTTGCATTTGGCGCTGCGTTGCATAGGTCTCTTGCATAATAAATAAGCTGGTGAGCGATGGTGACGTATTTGGAGAGTTTCTGCATTTTGGGGTATGCCAAACCCCGTCGGCCATCTACCACCGCACCCTGGACCTCCGCCATAACCTGCCGGCTCACCCCCCTTTTTCGGGTGACGAGGAAGCCCCCATTCCAGGTATTCCTTTCTCAAAGCTTCAACCTCAGGGGCTGACTCCCCCGCTTCCTCCAGCAAAGTTTCCCGTGGATACTTCTCCCGGAGGTCATAGTTGTCCAGATAGACGCGCCACACGGTCGATCCGGTCGGCAACACCTTGTCTTTACGGATCTCACACTTCTCGGTGTCGCGGGTGTGATTATGTTGCTGGGCTCGTAATACCAGGGTGCGGTGAACGCGCTGAGCGATTCCAACACTGTTGAGGAATCTTATAGGAAGTACTTTCGAGCAAGGATAACACACCTCCCCTTGCAGCTCTGGAGGGACCAGGCCGTCTGGCAAGGGCTTGTTGAAGCACAAGAAGGGGAACCAGCAAGGGGGCAAAGCCAGGGTGTAGAAGAAACACCTCAAGTCCTCGCTTGATACTACTAAGTTTTCGCGCGCTTCAATGTGGAAAGGTGACATACCAAACCAGTGCAGGAGTGTTTGTATGTCCCCCGCCAGCCCTTGACAGAGGTCATTGAGTGGCATTAGATTCATAATCAGGCGGTAGATTGGCACCCCTTGTGATTCTTCTTTTTCTCAACCCCGAAGAGTCCATTGAGCAACAATTTAGTGCCAACTTTGAATACTTCTGACTCAGGGGCTACTCCAAAGATCCCCGCCCCCAATAATCCATGAGCCACGTCATACCAATCCTCATCTCTGACCATGACCCGAGACTTCCTAAAGGGGTCCCCATTCACTTGGTGCTTTGAGGTAGGCGGGGAAATTCTCGATGTAGTGCCTGCAACCCTGTCCGCAGATGTCCACTAACCTGGCCACACCTATCTCCTTCGGTAGGGCCGGCTCAATGTTCTTCCAACAGAAACCTAACGCTGTCTTCACCTCATCACCCTTGTAATCGATGGTGCGTGTCCGAAAGAAATCACCCCAATCGAACGACTCTGTGACCTCCTTGACCTCCTTCAGCCTAGCCACATCATTTGCCAGCCCCCCGAAGGATTCGGGAAACTGCTGGCCGATCGTCTGCTTGATGTTGTTCCTGAAGTGTTGGATCTGGGCACCCCCAAAATGAATTCAATGCGCAATGCAAATCCCTCTCAACCAACCAACGGTCCACGCATGCTCCTCTGACAAAAAGGGCAAAAGAAGTTCACGGCGGGTTGGAAGAGGAAAGGTGTCAGTTTGCTTCAAAAGCACTTCTACCTTACTCTCGCCTCCCGTGGGCTGGCTGCAGAGCAACATAACCTCCCGTAAACTTTCGCCATTTCCTGTAATTGCATCCCACACGCTCCTTTTTTCGAACCTCCGAGGTCCGCGGGGATGGACCCCGACTGTACCAGGATCATCTTCAGCTCGAGCACTGCCTTGTTTCGCGCTGAGCCGTCCGACGTCCCTAAAGGAGGAAAAAACGATCGGAGCTGGAGGTGGGAATGGTCCATCTGGTCTCTTTTCAGGGACCATCGCCCCGTACCGCAATCTGCGCTGCTCGCGGTGCCCCCGTATGGCCTTCCAGGCCTTGTTGCGATTGGCGTCAGCTCCTTGAAAGTAGCGCCACCAGTCGTTATATACCTGCCCTTCCCGGGGCCTGCGCCCCGATCATCTCCACTCATCCCAGGGATCTCCACCCCCGTTCCAACTGTACTGCTGTATGTCTGGCTCGTCCTGGGTTCCACAGGGTACAAATGCCCCGCAATCTCAGGAAGTTGACCCTCAGGGGTCACCAGCATATTGGAGGTAGGTCTCAATCCTTTTTGGGCTTCTCCTTTCCCTGCTTTCCCTTGCCTTTTCCTTTCTCAGTCCTCTCTCCTTTGCCCCCTTCCTTGCCTGTTCCTTTGCTCCACCATGCACCGCTTTGATGGGCCTGGGCTTCGGCACGCTGCTCTGTTGTCGCTATCTTCAACTCCTGTCTCGACGACAATGTGGCCGCGTCGCTTGGAAGAAGTTCTAGGCGTTGGGCAGCTGTCCATGCAAGGCCACTGATCTGGGCTTTTAAAGACTTCACCCTCTGGGTCAGGGTGTCCATGGCTTCCGGAAGCTGGCCGTAGCATCAAATCTCCCACCGTGCATAGTGTATGAAGTTCCCTGCTCATCGGTCCAGATACCTTTCGACTCAGCATTTGTCGATAATATTTCAGGAGCGTGGGAACCGCGTGGGAACCCAGCAATCTTGCTGGCTGGATTCCTGTCCCGCTTCTGCCAACATCAACTCCTGCGTATTCTCGATGGTCTGAGCTGATAAGACTCCGGGAAAGCTCAAAGCGACAGCCCGGACTCGCTGGGGCTCGCCAAAAATGGCTTGACCTTTCAAGGTCCCTTCCTCGCCGCTTGAATTGCTCTTGCTTTCTGCCCTCTTGCTCTGAGATCGCTGCGCATACCTCTGCGCTTTCCTCCTCTTGCGATCCGAGCCTTCTTCAGGGGATCGAGTCCACTCCCCCCGAACATCACCTTCTGCTCGACTGCCTTGCGCTTTACCTCTGAACTTGTACTCGAAGACTGGGAGGTGCTCGATGGGCTCCTTGCGCGCTTTTTCTTCTTCTTTGCTTTCTTCTTCTTCTTCTTCTTCTTCTTCTTCTTCTTCTTCTTCTTCTTCTTCTTCTTTTTCTCCTTTTCTTTTAACTCCCGGGCCTCCTCCTTTGGTCGTTCTTCTGCTCCTGGATCTACCACTGCAGGAGCTGCGATGTCTTCCATCCGACTTCTCAGCCCGGCCAACTCGTCCTCCTCTTGGCGACCTGCACTGACCAAAACGTCGCGCCAAGGAAGGTCTCGGATCTCTTCCAGGGTTCGTTTGCCCCGATGCTTCTTGCAATGTAGGAATCCGGGACCTTCGGAGTCTTGTCCGCAGTCGGGTGTGCAGAGGTGAACCCGGGCGTAACCGGTGGCGCCGCTCGCCCAAGTCAACAAAGCCTCCAACTCTGTCCCGAAGAGCTTCACCATGTAGTACTTCCCTGAAAGGTCCTTCCATTCCTGATAATCTTTCCAGAGAATTGGCACGCCGTTTTTGCACACGCCACAGGCCCCTGGATCTGTGTTGAGGCGCAGGGCTTCACGCACGCAACTGTTGGAAAAAATGCGTGAAACCCCTGGACAAAGGGGTGGACGCACGCACAAAACGCCGTTCCAGTGGGCTGTCCGTTGATGCGGCGACCTGTGGTAGGGTGGGAGATTTTGAACCAACGGTTGGATGTATGGGAAAAAACTGGCAATGGTTGATGGTGCGTTGACTACCCTTCTTGTAGTGGAACCGTCACAAAGAAAAAGTGCGTTGCTCTGGAATGAGGAGGCAAAGGGTGACTGCTTCTAAGAGTGGGCAACAGTTACGGTCAGATCAACCTGTTTTCAAACACGTCAACAGTGTTCTGGCTTTGGGGAACAAGAAGGACAGCAACAAACACATAATATTGGGGCCATCGAGACAGCAAAAACAAGCCACAAATCATGTCGTGACAAAGCCTCTCTGTCCAAGAAACGGCGCCTGTTCAAAGCCACACACCCACCCTGCCTTTGAAGCTACCGGCGGTTGCAAAGGGCAGCCTTTCCTAGGTCAGCGCATGAACGTCCAGCTTTCATAGCTGGAGGACGCATTCTCTGGGGCACGTACCGTCCAAGTTTGGAGAATGGCACCTCCTTCCAAACCTCAATGGGCCACCTACATATGTCATGCGGATATATGCGTATGTGCTTGTACTTGCGACTTGGACTTGCGCGGCGCGACCTCCCGCCCTAACTTAAATAGCTGATGCGCCGAGGGGAAGGCCTTCTTGTCCGCCGCAAACGTCACGATGACAGACTTTTTCCTGGCACAATCCTTTATGGATAACAAATGACCACGCTGTTTCACTCTTGATGCTTCCTGTTTTCTCAGTGCACGATGTTGTCTGAGCGCCAAGCTTATCATCTATCTTTGTGACATAGACCTGGGACCAACACACCCTGCCCACATTGCCCGCGTCTCCATCACAAATCAAAGGGCTAAGGCGGCAGGAGGCATACAGAAGGCGAACGCAAAATCACACACACTTGAGGAAAAATATATACGGTCTAAATGCCACATGCCACAGGCAACCCAGGTGAAAACTCGCGGACGAAACGAACGCAAAGGAGTCCAACCAAGTTGACGAGTTAGTTCCTGAGAGCCCTTCAGGGTCCAAAAACTTCCAATGCTCCAAGAGGTTCCAAACGGAAGCTCCAAACATCGAACGACCACCGAGCGCCGCCAGCGCGAAAACTTGACTGTGGTGGCCAGCAGCTTGTTCTAGTTACAAAGGGTTCCACTGTATCGAGTCAATCACGGGCATGTACTCAGTTGGACGTCTCCAACTTGCATCACAGGTAGCTGATGAATGTCTTTGTAGGCGCCGGTCTCATCATCACTTCGGGCGCCCCACCCTTCCAAAAAACTAGATGACGAATGGCCCTGAGCGTGGAAGGACAAGCGCACCAACATTTAGGTACGCCGCCGCAGACTGAATAATGTTCACTGCCAAATTAATGTCTGCAGTTTTTTGGGTCGGATGAATAACCCCCCCGGGTTAATGTCTCCATCGGCGTTCTTACATATTCCATTGTTATCAACTTTCTATATTTTTACTTTCAACATATTCTTTTTATGCGTTCTATCTTTTAGCTCGTTTTGTTGTTATTTTTATGTTTTTTGTTTTTGACTTTTAACTGTTGAATATTTGTTGGTTTTTAAGTTGCGATTGCCCTGTCTTTTGAGCTGTCGGCGCTTCCTTTCATGCGCCCAACAACTCGCCAAATGGCCGTCTCGGGCCAGAAACGACGGCAAGTGAAGGCTATAGTGAGCCTTGGGCTGCATACATGCCGGTCCGTACGCGGCCAGGCGATCGCAAAGGTGACTCTCAATGCGTCGCCGCAACTCCTCAGCATTTCAAGTTTATATATATATATATATTTATATTTATTTATTTAACTATATATTTATATATATATATAGTGCTGCATTTGCTCTTTGTTTAAAGCTCTGCATCACTTACAACGGTTTCGTTCCAGATGCCCTGTCAAAGCGTGGCTACACAAGTATCAAGAAAACTGAGACTGACACCAAAAATATCCAAACTTGTGGCCCAGAGGGGGGTGGCGAAAGCTAGGCAAAGAAACAACGCTGGGGCTCTTTTGGCAGCAAAAGCTGGCCGGGAATCGCAACATGCCATGGACGAGGGAAAGGAGAGTGCCAACAGCGCCCCCCGAGTACGACCCCAACACTGCCAACACGTGGCAACGCACAACCACTCCAGCAACAGCAGCAGCAACAGCCACAACAACGATAACTGTAACCAGCAGCGGGAGCGGCAGCAAGCAGAAGCTACCAAGCAGCAGCAGCAGCTACCAAGCAGCAGCTACCAAGCAGCAGCAGCAGCAACCAAGCAGCAGCAGCAGCAGCACCAGCAGCAGCAGCAGCAGCATCAACAGCAGCTACCAAGCAGCAGCAGCAGCAGCAGCAGCTACCAAGCAGCAGCAGAAGCACCAGCAGCAGCAGCTACCAAGCAGCACCAGCCGCCACCATGCAGCACCAGCAGCTACCAAGCAGCAGCAGAAGCAGCAGCAGCAGCAACTAAGCAGCAGCAACTAAGCAGCAGCAGCAGCATAGGCTACCAACAGCAGCAGCAGCAGCTACCAAGCAGCACCACAAGCTACCAAGCAGCACCACCAGCTACCAAGCAGCAGCAGCTACCAAGCAGCAGCAGCTACCAAGCAGCAGCAGCAGCAGCAGCAGCAGCAGCTACCAAGCAGCAGCAGCAGCAGCAGCAGCAGCTACTAAGCAACACCAGCAGCTTCCAAGCAGCAGCAGCAGCAGCTACTAAGCAGCAGCAGCGGCTACCAAGCAGCAGCTGCTGCTGCCAAGCAGCACAAGCAGCAGCGGCTGCACCAAGCAGCAGCTACCAAGCAGCGCAGCAGCAGCTACCAAGCAGCAGCAGCCACCAAGCAGCAGCAATAGCAGCAGCTACCAGGCAGCGGCAGCAGCAGCAGCAGCAGCAGCTACCAAGCAGCTACCAAGCAGCAGCAGCAGCAGCAGCACCAACAGCAGCTACCAAACAGCAGCTACCAAACAGCAGCAGCAGCTGCAGCTACCAAGCAACAGCAGCAGCAGCAGCAGCTACCAAGCAGCAGCAGCAGCAGCAGCAGCAGCTACTAAGCAGCAGCAGCAGCTACTAAGCAGCACCAGCAGCTGCCAAGCAGCAGCAGCAGCAGCTACTAAGCAGCAGCAGCGGCTACCAAGCAGCAGCTGCTGCTGCCAAGCAGCACGAGCAGCAGCGGCTGCTACCAACAAGCAGCAGCAGCAGCAGCAGCTACCAAGCAGCAGCTACCAAGCAGCGCAGCAGCAGCTACCAAGCAGCAGCATCAGCAGCAGCCACCAAGCAGCAGCAATAGCAGCAGCTACCAGGCAGCGGCAGCAGCAGCAGCAGCTGCCAAGCAGCAGCAGCACCAACAGCAGCTACCAAACAGCAGCTACCAAGCAGCAGCAGCTACCAAGCAGCAGCAGCAGCTACCAAGCAGCAGCAGCTACTAAGCAGCAGCAGCGGCTACCAAGCAGCAGCAGCAGCAGCAGCAGCAGCTACCAAGCAGCATCACCAGCCACTAAGCAGCAGCAGCAGCAGCAGCAGCTACCAAGCAGCACCACCAGCTACCAAGCAGCAGCAGCAGCAGCAGCAGCTACCAAGCAGCACCACCAGCTACCAAGCAGCACCAGCAGCAGCAGCAGCTACCAAGCAGCACCACCAAGCAGCAGCAGCAGCAGCAGCAGCTACCAAGCAGCACCACCAGCTACCAAGGAGCAGCAAGAGCAGCCGCAGCAGCAGCTACCAAGCAGCACCACCAGCGACCAAGCAGCAGCAGCAGCGGCAGCAGCAGCAGCTACCAAGCAGCAGCAGCAGCAACATCAGCAGCAGCCACCAAGCAGCAGCATCAGCAGCAGCTACCAAGCAGCAGCAGCAGCAGCAGCGACCAAGCAGCAGCTACCAAGCAGCACCAGCAGCTACCAAGCAGCAGCACCTACTAAGCAGCAGCAGCGGCTACCAAGCAGCAGCAGCAGCAGCA